GATATAGATACAGATATCCATTTTTCTCAAGCATAAAAAGCAGCATGCAAATTCATGGCACGCTTGGATTAAATTATATTTCTATAATTTAATCACTCGACACATCTAAAAATTATTGGATATTATTTGCGACGTAAGATGAACTGCATGCATGGCATCCATACCAATGCGAGCAGTCAACGTATGACGACATGCTTGTGTCAGCAACCGAATTACCATGTCAAAGGATGTAGAATATAGCGCTCTCTTTCTCTCTCTCTTCCCATTTCTCTTTCAAATGCTCGATTTTTTTGTTGTTGTTGTCGTCGATGTTAACGTTTTTCATTTTATTTTCAAACGAAAATTCACACAAAATAATAACTATGTGTTTTGCATGCGATAATATGCAAGCATACATATAGCATGCACATACACATTATTAGTTTATGTGAATTTATGCTAGAATTTATGAGATTGCGACATCGACATGAAATTCATTTGAGTTTATTCGTTCGTGCTAAGAATATGGATTATTTCCCGAAAAAATATTTTTTTCTATATATATATATAGAGATACCAATGTGATTATTTCGAAAAGTTTTCTATCCATTCAGTGCAATTTATCGGGGGTGGAGCACACAAACTGTTAGCTATTTCTCTCTGTGTGATGCGACAAAACCAGACTAAAGCATTTTCTTTATGAATATTTGCATAATTAAACACAGGAGCTGTGCTTTATTATGCGGCACTAAGCCCAAATTAAAATCCATTCAGTTTGCTCTCGGTTGCTGGTAGGTGCCTTTTTGTGTTGCCGGCTGTGGCATGTTCAAAGCCAAAACCATTCATCTTTTGACATAGACAAAAAGGACATGATTGCAACTACAAGTATGGTCTACGAATGAAGATGTTGGACGATCAGCATACAAAAATGGACCGTCGAATCGAGGAGAGAGATAGAAAAATACTTCGAAGTATTATCATATCATGTCGAAGTTCTATTTAGAAAGTTACGAATAATGTGCCGAGATTTGAAGCCATTGCATAAAGTAATCCAATTAGGCGCGAAACGGAATATTATTATTCAGATTCATTCAATCATCAATGACATTGGTGAATTGAGAAAAATTGTTGAGCGCAGAGTATCCCTTACTTAGGCTCATTCGCTTGCACTTATGCCGTATTCCCAATCATTTCATTTTAGTAACACGAAATAAGCATTTATCATTCGCGTCCCTTGTTATTTTTGCTCGGTTATTGCGCACGCTCTCTCTCTCTCTCTCTATCCCTCTTGGTTTCTCACTAACTTGTCAATCCTCAAAACGCTTCGAAACCAAACTTCATCAAAAACATCCATTTTTCAAACGGTCCATTAGATTGCCGGTTTCAATTCCCTTCCGTCAGCTATAATAATATTTTTTGTTCGTCTTCATTGCCCATTTTAAACGCCACAGCCAAATCTTATTACCTTCTAATCCACTCAGCCACAGTCTCGGCGGCGCTTCGAATCGCACCCACAACTTTGGTTTCCACTTTCTTATTTTTTCCACTTCGTTATTACTTTTGCTTGAACACACACACAAACCATCATTCTTTTTCGTGTTTGCATTTGTTGGCAATTGACCGAATGAACTCGCCTTTTACTACATTCGATTTGCGACGATGCAAATCAGAGATAGACGATGGAGGTGGCAATTGTCAGCTAATGGCCAAGTTACAGAGAAAATAGCACGTTTCACCATTTTTCTTCGTATGAAGCGATTATGGCAACAACAACACTTGCTGACTGAGGTGTAGATATCGTTTCGTGTTTAATAATTATGATTGATTGAATTTGAATAATATATAATTTTTTTGGTTTTGCTTTGTTTTGGCACCCCCCCAATCCAGGATGTCGCTAGCACACCCATTATGTGTAACAGACTGCGTGTGCTACAGTCATTTTTCTTCGTTTGATAACGCGTATATATAACAAAAAGTAAACAGAAAATTCGAATCTAATCACACAGAAACACTCTCACAGAGTTTTGAATAAATAATCCAGCAATAATAGACGAAACTGGTCGACCTGAATGATGAGAAGAATGGCAGGGAAGAAAAAAAAATTTAAATAAGAAAAATACTTTCTGGTGATATAAATATGGGCACAGCAAAAAAAAATGAAGCCGATAAGAATATCGTCTGACAATGATGTTTTAATCAGCATCGAATTTTCGACCTGCGCTTTTTTCTGGTTGAATTTTTTTGGCGTGTTATAAGAAAGGAAATAATGTTTCATTTGTGTAATTCATACATTTGGGCTGTTCAGATTTTTCAATAGGTCCACAGATTGCAATGAATTCTTTTCGAGATTGTATTTTTTTTTTTTCATCATAATGACGAGCGCCCGGCAAGCTTTTTTTCCATTGCTTGTGTCCACTTTCTTTAATATTCGTTTGCCATTCCGAAAACGAGGACCCATCGAATTTGCTTTTCATTTGAGGATTACGACCGGATTTTTTCTGTTGCCTCCACCAACGAACAGCATGCAATCAGAAAAAAAGCACAAGCCACCCCAAAATCCATTGAATATATACATTATAATATTTCAAAGAATCGAAATGATGATGAGCAGCCGTTTTGCTTAGTATGCAATAATTGCGAATCGAAGAATTTCAATCGAATTCCAATCAAAAGCGAACAAACATAGTTAGGCCAGCACAGTATACGATATGAATCGATTTCGGTTGCGACAAACGCATAACACGCATTACTACAAGATCAACACCCGAAATTAAAATTACTTTCTTCATTTTATTTGGCTGCCGTTGCTTGCTCTCACAAAATGAATTCCGTTGAATCACAGAAAATATTTAATAATTCTCTTGCTCACTTCCATTTTTGTGCTTTCTGTAGGGCTTAAATTTCCTTTTTTTTCAAGAATGAGCGCATTTAACAAAAAGAAAAATAGAAAAAGTTTTTTTTAATCCATTGAGCAGATGGCTACTTGAAAAAGTTCTGAGTGTGTGTGTGTGTGTGTGTGTGTGTGTGTGTGTGTGAGTGTATATAAATGCAGCACGCAGCTTGCTTTCGTTCGGCGTCTTCTGTCGTTTTTTTTGGCTCGCGTTTTTGCAACGAATTGAGCGTTTTCTTTCAACATTTCTTTTCATTTGCGATTTATATTTCGTGTGTTCTTCTTTTAATTTAAAATTGTATCCTATTAATGAAAGCGCAAAGTGTTTTTTTTCTTCTTCTTTTTTTGCGAATAATGTCTTTTTATATCATGAAATGATAAAAATGGAAACGGAAAATCTCGTATTCGCCATTTGAATTCGACACACAAAGAAACTGGGCATAGTAAATGTATAAATATTGACACACGAATGGCCAAAGAGAAAAAGAACCGACCGAAATATTCTAAAAAAAAGAGGCGAACAGAAAATGTATTTATAATAAATTGAAAGACTTGCTACATTGAGTGAAAATTAATGTAGAAACTTTTATTCCTCTCTGTACTTGGAATGAAATTTCTAATATTTTTGTTGCGTTTTGTATTTAGTTTCGCATTGGCATAACAAAATGTAGAAAAGCCGAATTTAAAAAAAAAATATATGCGTTTTACATGAATCTGTGAATGATTTTACGAGACCAAAAGTTTATCGCATACAGCCGTTTTTTTCCCTGCGTAGGTCTTGCAATTGGTCGCCAATGTAGCTTGTTGTTTGTGCGATTTCATACAGAGTACACGCGATGTGACTATGAGCTCATATAACAAAACTGCATACTACTGCCAGAATATATTTGCCGCTCTCTCTCTCTCTCTGCCCCTTTGTTCGAATGGGATTTGGTACGATTGTATTTCGTTCATATCAATGATTTATCGTTTGTTGTGTTTTCATGAACATAATTTATTTACTTCATTTTTCGACGAACATCTCCAGTTTGTTGCCATTGTTTCGGCTTTCGTTTCGTCCATAAATCGATAAATGATTCGGGGATATTCTTTTTTTTGTTTTTGTTCTCTTCACTCTTCTTCCATTTTCTATTTTCATCGTATATATAAATTTGTATCCATATTGAAACGCGCCTGGGAAAAATAATGGTTCGGTGTGCGCGTTTGCACACACATCTTGTTTGCTTGTCAGTGTGTTGTGGCCCAGGTTTCCAGTTCGATTGTTTTACTTATTCATTTTCAGTTAGATGCAATTCCCAATCGAATTTGAATTATTAATTTAATCAGTGATTGCTCAGCTTTTGTTTTTCCGACACACAATTCCGAAGACGATTGGCGAAGACTGTTTGTAGGTATGCCTCTCGAATTTTTTCTAACGTTGTTGTGTAATTCACGGAATGCCACTTTAATATCCAGTAATCTGGTCAGTTGCTAACAGAAGCTTGGCAGAAACCAACTAACACAAATCACGCCTTGAAATTGAATATATTTTTACTTATTACATAGTGATTTGTCTGGAGTTATTGATACAAATGTAAGCGTTGAATAAAATCTGTATAGCAACATTTTCAAAACAATAAACGGCGTCATTCTGTGCCTTGATTTGCTGGCATGCAGATACTCATTTAGCAAATTCATAAATCAAAATATTTTTGTAGTTATCCATTCGACTCGATACGATGCTATTGCCATCGCTGTTGTACTGTTGTTGTTCTTATTCTATTATAGATTCAATGAAATGTAGTTAAATCGTTGAATGGAATGTACTCCCATTCAATTGGAGTTTGTCAAATGTTCAGCTATTTTCATAAAGACACATAAAGCTTGAGGCTTTGCAGTCGGAAAAATTCACACATTGTTTTGTTTTGTCACGATGAAATTCATTTGGAAACAAGAATACGAAATGAAATGATTATCATGGTTATTGACAAGTTTTCACATTCTTGGCGAAAATTGTTCGTGTGCTTTTCTCTCATTCATTCTTTTTTTCTTTCTTTCTTATTGTCCACTTTGTTATGGTTCCATAAGCTTATGATACATAAATAGATCGGCCAATGAAAATCGACAGTAAGCACGATTCCAAAACACTTACCACTGTAAATTCTTTGCATGTAATTGTTGTATTAGAATTCCTGTAATGAAAAAAAAGAGACCAAAATTAATTAAAGCGCCAAAAAGTTGGGCGTAAAATTCGAAATTAGGTTCTAAATACTAAGCTAATTAGTTTATTCTTTTCTCTTCGGTTTCGTTCCATATTTTACAGACAGCATCGTGCGGCAGTGTGTATGTCATGGAAACGCCATTAATTTGCCCACAATTGGCTATTGAAGTTGCCAACAATGCCGGACCGAAACATGAAGCCAAAACCATAAAACATTCATTCTGGGGTAAGTAAACATCCATTTTCAATTTCTTTATTTATAACTTTTTCGTTTAAATTTCAATTTGAATTTGTCATCTTAAGCATTTTTTCTGGTTACTGCCTATTACCTCTTCTTTTTCATTTTTGTTATTGGACGTTTTGTTTTTTTTTTACTTATTCTTCAATATAAAAAATGATATTGTTTTTCTAAATGCCTTTGTCAATCAGAGAGAAAGGGTCCGCAATCACGAGGATCTCGCCTTTAAAAAGGTCGCAATGTAGTGAAATTAATAAATTAAAGCGAATAAAGAAAAAAATAAATAAGCAAAATTAGAACAAGCATTTAACACAAAAGAAAATTGATAATAAAATGTAAAATATCTAAATTAACGGTTCTATTACAGGTGCACTTTTAATAACAGCCGCTGTTACTGTTCTTTTATTGGCATTGATTGTGCTCGTATTGAGAAATCCGAACCGACGATATCAAATCATGCATTTGTTCCGGCGTGGCGGTGCCAGTGTCCATTATTCACGAGTAAGTATTCCGCCATAAAGTGCCATACAACGAACAATTTTCAACAACAAAAAACAAGTGCGAGAGACAGAGAGGTTGCGAAGAAGTTTTGACCGAGGAGAAAAGTTTTTTTTTTTTTGATGAATTAATTAAACGGAGAAAATTCGTTCAAATTTTGTTCCATTTGCCCAAATTGTTTTTGAAAAGTGTGTTCTCGTTTCTCGTGTTTTTTTCCTTCTCTTTTTTTTTGCATTTTCATAATTGTTTCAGTGTTGTTGATATTGATTAGATTTTTTGTTGCTGATTTTGATTGACTGACTGTTTACAACATTTTTTTTTTCATTTGAAAAGCATATTTCTGACCGTTGTTTTTTTCTGTCTTTTGATTCCATTCGCTGGGATTATTTTCAGGAAGAATTGTTCGACTATTAAAATATAGAGATTTTAGAGAGAAAAAAAAATAATGTTTTGTTTGGAGATTAATTACCATCATAGTACAGGTTTTTCTTTTGAGTTTATCATTTGGGTCGATAACAATAATTATTATTTTTAATGAAAACAATCCAACAATTTTTATAACAATAATTTGCATGATCGTATTTTAAATCGAATTAATTGCATTTTTATAAGCATATATTGCACGCGATGCTTAAATAGATCAATGCTGTTAATAAGTATTTATAATTAACACGGGGAAAAATGCTATGGTGTAGACTTGCCGAATTAACAAAACGCAAGAATAAACAATAAATTTGCACGTATATCAATCTATCTGTGACAAGTAAAAAAAAATATCTGTTTGTATTTTCTTTTTCCAGGTTCGCCGGAATGAAGAAGCAAATTTATTACTTGATCAACCCGATGGTTTGTCTGACAGCGATGAGGATTTGTTAATTTAAGTGATTTCAATTTATATTGTCACAACCATATTCGAAATCAATCAAGGCAGTAAATCGCAAAAAACTACAACTATTTTGATATCAATATATAAAGTGGCTTTTTCACATGTAACTTGTAATAGATAAAATATTTTAAAAACCAAAGTAAGACTAAAATGAATGATACTGGCTTGTGATAATTCTTGATGTCTTTATCGCCATAGATATGATTATTTGAAGAGTGAATGGCTCATGTTGCTTAATTTTTTTTTTATTTCTGACTGTTGCAATTTTTGTTTCAAGTATATAACACGAGTAAATCTGAAGCTTATTTATGATGCAGCAAACGAAACCAAATGTTATTGATTGAACTTAACCATTGAATAAAGACACTATTTGTAAGAGTATAAAATATGTTGCGTTTTCATTTTATCATGAACTAAATCGATTTGAATTTAAAAAGGTGAGGTGACACAGTTTCCGAAGTAAAAGAATAATATAAAATGTCTGAATTTAAAATATGATATTTTTTTGCTCGCATATAAAGACGTGTCAACTCGAAACTTGGTAATAGACGGAGCCAATCAAAAATCTAATAAATGGTCACAGCAGAGCACGTGCTATCTCAAATGGGAATTGATGAAAAAAACAACAATATATAGGACACAAAACATCTATGTTATGAATAGGTAGAGGTTTAGATTTTCAACACAAATTACAATCAAACTGACACATCTTCATTTAATGTGTGAAACGCGAACTTATTAAATGCAGTGAACAACAGAAAACTCTTGAATCTGATTACGAATCGTGGCATATTTGTGTGCAAATGAAAAAAAAAAAAATTACGAAAAGTTTGGTACGTACAAAAAAGGCATAGAAGACGGAAGAGAGTGGAAGGAGAATCATACACACCATCGCACGTTCGCTGCTTGTACACTCGCTCACTTCCAACGAGCACTTAATTTAAATATTTGCGCGGCAGTAATCGTAAATGAGGCGCATTGCGGATTCAATGGAATCAGTAGAACAGCGTCAAAGTTTGAAAATGAGAAAAAAAACAAAAAGTATACAATGAAGCACCAAATACCAACCATCGATATGCATGGTAAGTTGAAAAACATATTTTGAGTTCATGGTTGATATCAAAAATACTGGAAAACTTGAAAGGTAAGGTGGACGAAAAATATTTATATTTCTAATACATCGAACGATTTTTGCATTATTCATCGCACACTTTTCCATTTTTTTTGAATCCGTCCTTTTGAATCTATTTAGATTTTTTTTTTTTTTGCATTTTTTGATTAATGTTATTAAGTCGATGAAGTCTTTCATAATGTGAGGTGAAAAGTTTGAAATATTTTTTTTGTGGAATTTTTGCAAAAATTGAAGAATTTACTCATTTTTACAATATGTTGGCGAGTAAGGAAGCGTACAGTGGAACACCGAATGGTGAATTAAATGGAGATTATTTGCTCACGGACCAAACATACGGTGGTCAACGGAATTTCTAATCAATCGTAATAATGGCATCTTGGGTGTTCTTCTATTCGGCAAGAAAAGAAGAACAAAGCATGGTGTGTATGTATGCATCGCCATCTCTATTTATCTGTAACAACAAAACCAATCTGACACACTCAATAGATAAGCGTGGTGATGTTGATTATGATGGTGTCACAAAATAAACTTTCCAATCGAATTTGATCAGGTTTATTTAGATATCGGTTAATAATTTAATCTGATTGAAGGTACACGAGATAGAAAGAGAGATGATATAATCAACAGTCAATAACATAATTCACTGAGGCGAAGATCACACACTTTATGCAATCATCGACCTCAAAGACCTTTAATTTCTTCATTCCTTTTTTTCTACTGTCTTATTAGAAGTGATCGCTGCCACACACGTGCATTCTCCAAAAACAAAAACGAAGAAGCCGAACGAAATGAGATGAGAGAAAAAATAATTTAAAATCATCGGCCGTGGAAAAGAATGTTTCCAATTAGATTCGATGTCATTATCGTTACACAGCACATTGTATAGATTCCATCTCTTTTCTGTTGTGTTCGCGCTGAGCATTTTACGTTGTTCTATCAACAGCTGTCGTATTTCGTATTTGAAGGAGACATGAGCTAATTCCTATATAAATGCATACAGATTTCATCCGAAAGTATAGTGAACTCTCAACATTTGATATGAATGCTTGGATTCACCCCACGAAATATTTCTGTTCGACATCACAATCGATTTCGTTGTAATGTCCGTTCGCTTATCAGCGGCGTAATCCACCATTCCCTTGCTTTCGATTCATTCGCTTTTGTTTTGTGTCTTTCAATTTTCAATATTCCGTCTTTTAGTTGCCCTTCGACATGTGCCATGCCGAAGTTCACGAAAACCTGTTACGTTCTCCATTATCTTCACAATAAACACATCGAAAATTAAGGCAATAGCACTTGAAAATACATTTTGTTTGATGATTTTTTTTGTTCGGTTGTTCCAATTTTTCCTTTCTTTTGGCCCGACCGCATTTGTGCATGCGTGCGTTCGTGCTCGTCTTTTGTGTGTGTGGTCTTTTTTTCCATTCAATCATTGAGTAATAAATTACAAACCCAACTATGTTATTAGATATTTCATTTGAACGAAACAACTCGATGATATTGAAAGTTTTGACAAAAAAAAAAAGAGAAGAATCGACACCGATACAAGAACGAACACGGATAACACAGTCAGAAAGAAACAAAAAATCATTAAAATCGAAGCAAACAACCGACAAATAACATAGTTGATGATTCTTTTATGGGATATTCATTTTGATATTTTAGTTTTTATATTGAAATTAACTCACTGCAACAGCTGTTTTGTTTGTTTTGTGTTTTTTGTCGGATGGAAAATGGCTAATTACTAACCAAGTTTGAGGGAAATTAAAGACATATTTTGAGGATAATTTTTACTACTTAATTTCTGGTGATGCTTTTGCAAGATCAGTTCAAAATTATTGTCTGGTCGTCCATTTCCATTTGGCAGTAATTGACGTACTGACGAATGAACGGCAAGTCCATTATTCATAGAATCCAAAATAAATGTTCGAAATTTGCTTTATACTATTATTGTTATGTGTGTATATTTTTTTATTTCGTTGGTTGTTTTTTTTTCATTCCATGTTTTCCATACTAAATTTTGTTGAATCGCATTCAAGCGAAAACTTAGGCAAAAACTTTATAAGAACTCCTGAAAGCAGTTTTGTAACAAACTTCTCCTTACAAGAAACCGCCGACCAAAAAAGAAAAATCCCAATACGAAGAGAAAAACGACACACACACACAACGATGGAGACTTGACTGCAACTAACGAATGGCAACAGTGACTGCAACAGCAACACCAGCAACGAAACGTAGCAGAAGCAATTCAAAAAGGCAATCCAAGTCCAGAATGTTGGAAATATCGAACAAGTGCACACAGGCTGGCGCGTTCTTCTTCACATTACTGCACTGAATGGCAGCAAAATGTAAACGGTATACAGTATGGGCAAAAACAAAATAAATATTCGTATACTATATACACATAGTTGAAATATTCAGTTAGGAAATAAATCGTCTGTGCACAAATACTTCCCATGTTGTCTGAAAAGTGGTTCGGACGAGGCCAAAGCGACAGAGTGAGAAAACGGTTAGCATGGCTTTGGCTCACGCAAAAGATAAGACTTTGAAAAAGCACGAAACTTCAGAACGAATATTTGAATTCGAATTAACGAAATGGAGTGAGAAAAAGTGAAAAAAAAAAATAACGATTCGCTCCCGCTCACTGAACTCGACAGTGTATGTGTGTGTAAATAAAATTATAGAAAATAAATAAAACATTTCCATTGAAACGGTTGGTTGCAATTTTTCTTTGGATGGTGCATGTCTCCCATTGCCCTCCAGTTTCGTTTGATTCCCAATCCCGTTTTTTTCGTTTTTGAGAAGTTTGGGATACAATGAAGCCAGCCGGAATGCCAGCCACCGCACCAAAGTGAAAATATATGCTGATGAGAAGGGATATGATATTGCGGTCGATGTATCTGTCGTAGTATTAATAAACTAAATGATTCTTTGATATTCGTGCAACTGCCATCAACGAACCATATTCATATTTCATTTTGGCATCCATTTTGATACGTATTGAGCCGGTCTAGGCAATATTCACACCAAAGTACGTGTACAATCTATTTGTATGTATATGGATAAATGTGTGCAATAAATGGGTGTGAGAAGGCCTGAGACAACAGCGACAGATAAAAACGGCAACGCGCAACTATTTGCCCATTTTGCCAAAAGAGTTCTCCTCTATTCGGCATGGTTATCGTCTGTTTTACACACTGTTTGAATTTCACCAGCAAACCATAAAAACGAATAATCTGTGCGTACCAGAAAAACACACAACGAAGAGAGTTGGGACGCGATGCCATCAGCATAGTTGATATTAAAGCTATGACCAAACTGCAACATAAGAAGTGAAACATGTGTTTTATCGAATGAATGGCAATTTTATTTATCCGCTTTATTATAGAAATAAAAGGCAATGCAATTCTTTTTTTTCTTTTCAAGTTTCCCTTTTTTTCCTCATTCTCTCTTCGTTTCAAATGTGTATATGTGTGTGCTCTGTACCGTATCACGTAACTTTGTTTTCTCTCACTCTTGCTCACTTTAACTTCAGCAAATTCCGTTTTCATTACACCGATATTTTTTTGCATTTTACAAAAGAACGCAGACCGAATAGCGTTTTCGAATAAATATTTGGCATACCACACCGCATACTTGGTGACTTTTCTTTCTCGCAACCAACCGACCCGAAAATATTATTTCATTTTTTGATTAATGCCATTATGTCATCATCATATAGGTTTTTTTTCCCGCCAAAATGGAAAATATAGTAAAAATTGAGACAAAAAATGCTCATTGGTATTTTGGCTATGTCAAAGTTCATTGTGCATTCTTTTTATTTGTAGCATTTTTCTGTCGTCATCGTTGCTGGTTTGGTTTTTTCCGTCTTCATTGAGCAAAAAAAAAAAAAATGATGTTTATATGTGCTGTAAATTTCGCATTGGCAAAAACTCAGGGCGCGATGCGATCTTTATGTCATTGGCATTGATCCAG